GTTCTGTGTAAACAGGGCTGAATATAACCTCCATCTACAGACAGAAAAATAAAAAGCTAAACTCTAGCAACTTCTGAAATATCAGCTATTGGCCACTGCATTTATGCTGAGGCTTTACTGTATGCAAATTTACACTTAATCCTAAAGAAGAATAAAGACTAGAATGAGACAAAAGTTTCCCTTTTCAAGGACTTGCAGTATAATTTATTCCAAAATATAATATATAAAACTTAAGTCAATACAATTATAGTGTAATATTCATACAGTTAAGACTGAAGGTGGAAGAGTTGTAAGAATAGAGAAATTTGCACAAGGTCTAGAATAATGTAGCTCAAACTCAAAGAGAAGGTGCAGACTTAAGCAAAGTAGGCCCCAAACACAAGGTTCCCAGTGATGAAAGCTGGAAGGGTGGTTAAGCAGACTGGTCTGACAAACATAAAATGGGCTCAGTAAGCAGTACCACATGTAGGAGCCTGGACTTGCAATGCCAGGAAAAGAGAAGTCTCCATTAGGTTCTTCAGTAAAGCAATGATGGAGGAAAATAGGCTGCAGGGAAACAGAGCCCAATATAGGAAAATAAATTAATTAGGTAAATTGCAGTTATGTACCTTGTGAACTAGTGGCCTTTTTAAAAGGCTGGAATGTCAAATTAAAAAAATTTTTCATTAGAATTTCAAAATCTTTACACATACAAATGTCACAGTGAAGGTCCCTGGTGTGCACTCACTCGCACACTGACTCCCCCCATACTGCTGAACTAGCTTTCTTCTCCCTTCTTCCTAAAAGAAATTTGTTCATTGTTATCATAATTTTTAGTGATTGTGATTTTCACTATCATTTATAGAACTTAAATAGTCAATTTATTTTTCACAACTTCTTTTGCAGCATGTAATCTAAAACAATTTTGCTTCTCTCCTCCTATCCTTCTTATGTCTGTTTTTTATTTTGTTTTTTATTCTCCTTTTCCTATCACTTCTCATGTGCTTGCATTATATCATCATAGACTGGTAGAGCTGCAAAGATCCTCAGAGATCTGCTCATCCAGACTTTCGATTTTACAGAAAGAAAACCAAGACCAGAGAGGTAAAATGACTTCCTTATTTGGAGTTCAGTGCGGTTAGGTGCTGACAACCACTCTTTTTCCTTTTTAGAATAAATTTTCAGAGCTGATAGGGGAAAAACATAACTTAAAAACAAAAAACAAAAAACTTAAAAACCAATATATCTTGATTATAAAGATATAATTAAAAAATAATTTAAAAATACACAAAAATTACAAGACAACTATAATGCTTTGCTCCATTTTCTGTTGTTAATGTAGGTTTTTAGTATTTCTAATACAACATTCTTTGAGAAGCAAGGGAAACAACTATTTTTCAAGAAAGTTTCAGATTTGTTAAAAAGCTATAGAATCTTAGGTAGTTAAATAACATGACAACATTTCCTTTATAAAGGAACAAATAAAGTTACAGAGCATCCTAAAATATACCTAATGGAGTACATATCAAAAAAAAAATTCTGCCTACCTGAAATCTTTAAACTCATTCTTTTCCCACCTGTTTCCTATCTTTGTCCTTGCTAGTGTTTTCAAAGTACAGGAATAAACTACAGTGGAAGTGGAAAGGAGGGAGTGAGTTAAAACTGCTGAATGCTCTGAGTAACCAGTTTATATCCATGGTTTTTGAAACATGTCTTTTTAATAGTTATTTTAAGAAAGAAATGTTATAATAGTTTGTCTTATTTTAGCCATATAGTGCTTAAATCACAAGTAAATAAACACAAGTCTTAGGTTTTCTTAGGTTTTCTCGTAACGAGGACTTATGAGAGAGTCAATGCCAATTATTACTTTGTCTGTATTAATAAGAGCTAGTAAAGTCACACACAGCTAGAATAGATTCCTCCCCATTCTACTCCAGTGGAGCATTATTTGCAATTATTTGGCATGATTTTGAAAATCTAGATCTCAGTAGTAACAATGAAGATGCCATTTCTAGAAACAGAAAATGATGTAAAAAAAAAACATTGTTAGAAGAGAAAGAATTTGAAATCAGGCTGAATAAACTGGTTGGCCTGAGGTTATGTTAATGACATATAGTCTTAGCAGTATTTTACTTTTTTGTTGGCTGACTTTATATATTTAGTCAATCTCAGTTATGGCTGAAATCAGTTCAGTAGCCATATGTGTATAAGATCACTATATAATAATGAACATGAGAAACATCAGTATTGTGTGTGAAGCAATTTGTAAATTTTATATACACAACTTTTACTGGTGTACAATCTTTGCACATTATAACATATGTAAGTCAGTGAAAAGAACTTACACATAATTACAGTGTGTATTACATACAATTACACACATTAAATGTGTATATACTCATTTTCTAATTTAAATATGCAGGATTTACATGAAGGGCCAAAGATGAACCTCAGCCCAATCAAGTAACTACAGGGGCTTCCTTTTCATACTAGACTTAGAATACCTAATGTCTTTTCTCTGTACCATTTCAGATCTATTTCGGTACCTGGGGCCTTTAACCATTTCCTACTTCAGTCTAGTGCTGTGCAAAGCAGGAGAGCATAGGTAGCAAGTTGAGTGGTGAGACGGAAAGAGTGCCCACATTTTGGAAGCATGTCCCTTTCACGCTACATATATTCCTTACTATCCTCGGTCTCTAAACAAATCTCCCCTAACACCTTTTAAAACCTTCTCATTGGCCCCATTTCCCCGCCCTGGCTACCATGTTCAGATAACTAACGAAGCAGTTCTTTGTTATGGTTACCCAAATGGAAACCTAGATATTTCTTCTGAAATGCAGATAAATCATATACTAATTATGTATGCAGGTATTTACATGTATGTCCCTTATGTTAAACAAAAAACCCTGCATTATTCATGTTAGATTTCTGGGTATTTTGTTCTTTTTCCTACATGTTATCACTTTTCTTATTATCTGGGTTCCCATTGCTAGCAGCTGTAACTTCACAATACTATGTGCTTGCCCCTGAGGTATGTGGGCAACAGCGGCTTAGGAAAGGAGGAGGACAGGCAAGGACAGCCCTCTCAGAAGTATTTTGCAAACTGGAATGCCACTTTGTCTTATTGTGATCTTCTCCTGTGGTATCTTGAATTTCTGTCCACTTTAGTGACTGTTTCTTTATTTTCTTCCTCCCGCATCTTAATAATAGGTGTTCACCAGGATATTTACTTGGCAATCCTCTCTCTCTTTCAAAACTATCCTCTTACCTGAGGGTTTGTCTAATCTCCTAACTTGAAGAGTCACCTCTATTTTGTGGATTTCTTGTCTATTTATTTCCAAGAATCCTGCGGTGATTTATTTTTGGATGCCATACCTGCATCTCAAATTTAAAAATCTAAGTCTGTACATTACTTTTCCTCAAATCGAAAACGACTGGCAGTTCTTCCTTACGCAGTTGCGTATTAGGCAAAGAATGTCTTCACGCAAAAAACCCACTGACTGAAGATTCTCGTCTTCTGTCATCTGTCTGATTTGGCTTATGACTTACTTTTCTAATCTGAAGTCTCACTATTCTCCTTCACCCAGCTGGTTCTCTCCACCCTAGTAAACTATCTAAAGCCTTCCAAAATGTCATGTTAAAATCTCCTATGTATCCTCAAGTATCTAGTATAGTGCCCCCAAATAGTAAAAAAGAAGGAAAGACACCCAGATCAGTAATAGCGAGGGATGGGAGTAGAAAGGGAGCTAAATATAGTGGATCCATAGGGCCCTCAGAATACAAAAAAGTGCCACCCACTGAGCAGCATTTCAGGTTTTCACACTCATGGTCTCAGTTTTCCCTCTTACTACTTACTCAAGAAAACAGAAGACTTGACAGCAGTTGCTCTCAATGGGTATTTCCCCAGACCCAAAAGGTGTTTTGGAAATAGCTGGAGGAGGTTTCTCGCTATTTGAATGACTGGGGAATGCTGGGAGTTAAGGGCAGAGCTACTTGGTATTTTGAAATAAAAGGGACTGTCACAATAAAAAACTGCCCCTCCTCTAGCCCCATTTTGAAATGTCTTGCACCATCTCTGCCAACACAAAAATCCAGCTTATAATCATCGATCCTAGAGCATTAACTTCATTCATATACAACCATGAAGAATTTTTTCCACAGTTTTGATATGTTTTATAAAAATTGTATCTCCACAGATAGACTGTACTATATTTTGTCTGGAACTTTACTCTGAGTTGCTCATCATTTTGGAAAAAAATCATAGCACAAAAGAGAGTCCTTCACAGATTTCAAATCACTACTATAACATGCCTCTGTCAGTCTTATTTGTAGCTCTTTGTTTCTCATCCCCTTTCTACGTTAACATCTTCCCTCTTAGAAAACAAATTTTCCATGCCAATGGTAAAGACTGCTATAGTGTAAACAACACTGAACTGACGGCAGTAAGTTTGCCACTTAGCTTCAGTTTGCTCATGTATAAAATGCATGTGCTTTACTTTTACTTATCTTAGTGGTTATGAGAAGCAAGTTGATAAAATGGATATGAAGTATCTCTTAAAATATCAAGTTCCATATGTACTTTACAATAGAAACAAATGATAAACAATATTTCTGACTAGAAATGAAATAGGAAAATAGAGTCCTAAAAAGCCTCTGCCTCGTGTATGCTTACCAAATCAAACTACAGAAATTTCATAGCATATAGGACTAGTAATATTTAAACCCCTGATAAAATCAAACTCTAAGACCTGTGCTGTCCAATAAGGTAGGCATGCATTTGCTAAAGTGCGAAACATACAATGGATTTAAAGAACTTACTACAAAAAAAAATTATTGAAAGTAATTTCATCTTTTATTTTTATTTTTTAAAATATGGCTAGTAGAAAATTTTAAATTACATTTTTTGCTCATAGCATATTTCTGATGGGTACTCTGCTCTGAAGAAACAATGCAATAATAAAACCATTAACAGCAACAATACTGATTGTCAGCTAATAAGATAATAAAAAAGGTACACTCACTTCATCGGTGAGTTCTCCAAACACTGTTATGACATCTATTAAAAGACTTGCAGTATAGAAGGACTTGATCATGTTTCTGGAAAAGAAAAGAGAGCTGGTCTAGTTTAAATGATGAACATTAAGATGTAGAATTAGCATTAAGATAATGTAGCATTCATGGAGCATTAAAAAAACTTCAGTGTTTATAAAAGCACTTTGCAATTAATGTTTTAAGTAAGATCAGATCTCAAGAACAAAATAGAGCTCCTTTTATAATGCTATTAGGAGAAAATAACACTCTGATTACAAGTAAATATGCTACTGCAAGGTTTTATAGTATGCTTTTGATTTTAGAAAATGTAATTACTGTATTATCTGAATCCCTATCAAGCCATATACATTCCTTTGCATTGAAATATTACTGTAATAATAACAAATCATTTGAATTGGTGGGGGTGGGAATTTAAAAAATAAATTTCATTGAACTAGGCTATTTTTGGCTAAAATCAACTCTTAGATTTTACTAAATGTTAAAAAATTGCTAGTTAGTGTATTTACAGAGAAAATGAATGTACCCTGAGTGTTCCTCTTTCAGCCATTTCTCTGTAAAGACAGGAATACTCTTATAACCCAAAATCATTCCGAGATTCCACAAGTACTTAATAAAAAAATCTACATCACTCATTAGGAAGTCTGAAAGTATTTAATAGAAAACTATAATTCTAGTTATATAGTAATTAAACTTTACAGTTTTGTTTTCCTCTTTTTTACGTACTTGTGAAATTGTCCAGCACGATCTTCATTATCTGCATACAAAAACATTTTCAAAGCATAATTCTCCAAATAGGCAGAACCAACTATTTCTTGAGTAATAGCTTCATTATCACCCAACTGTTTCTTAAGCTAAAATAGAGAAAGATACAAAGCTTATTATTTTGGACTCACAGAAGAGTATGCTTACAGACAAATAATCCTAATAATCATTTTTTTTTATTCCTAATAATCATTTTAAGTAAACTATTTTACATTCATTTCAGTAAAAGATGTATAAATGAAATGTTGCAAATGAAAATTGCTTTTCATTAGCTCAAGGTATTTGAAACAAAATCCAATGTCAACAAAATCTTGAAGAAACATACTCATGATAACCTGAAAGTATAATTTAGTTCTAAAAATCAAAATAACCAAGAATAAAATGATAATGCATCCAATTATCTATGTATAGCATCAAACCAGTATTTCAAAATAATGTGTTTTGAATTTATTACCAGATATCCTAAAAACGGAATTAGGAAAATCTTTCTTAACCATATAAAATGTAAATTTTAATTTATGCCTATTTCAACTTCTTTTATTAAATATAAAAAAGTGACTAGAAGGATCTTTACATACTAAAGAGTATCTCTCAGAGCACAGTGTAAAAAAAAGATCTCATTCTAAATAAGGTGTAATTTTAAACTTAAAATCATGTAAGTTTTTAAAATTAGGCAAATATATACTTTAAATCAACACACCTTACAACTGTGTTAATTTACAGTCAGTACATCCCTTTCCCTACACATAAAGTTTTTTAAAAACAACAAATTAAGTTCCTACATTCTACTCAGACTGTCATATTCTTATAATATGACCTTGTGGACTATTATATCTAAGCACCATACTACTGTTTAAAAATGGCTTTTTTCTAAGACATTAGAATGTAAAAAATTAAATTTAAAAAGGCCTCAGGATTTTTCATAAAATCGGCAAAGTACATATTCTCATAATTATAACAGACTAATTTAAGGTCTAGAAGAGATTTAATATTGAAATTTAAAGATACTAAATGACTATGCTATCCGAAACAAAAACAGAAAAAAGCATCACATATAACAACAGTTCACTGTATCCAATCTATAAAATGATGTAACTCTAGATTAAATTCTAGAGGTGGATTTAATTTCAGAAAAATTTGGTGGGAGTATGTTACTTCTTCTCATCTTCAATGCAAAACATCTGGAAGTAAAACTACAATACAAAATTTTCCAAATGTAATATAAACATTATAGCACAGGCAGACGTGCTCTCATCATGGAATAAACTTATTCTACCTGTTATTTAATTTAAATGAACTCCTGATAAATCCCCTTATAAATGTGATTTTACACTTTGCTCATTATAAAGAACTGTTTTATCTATAAGTATTATTTTAGCTATTGTTGTCCTATTGTAAAAATAAAGAGATATATTCTATATAAAATGTCTGTTAGAGAATGGGATTTTATAAATGTATTGCTATGTGTGAGATAAACTCTTCCTCCTACCCTGTAACCCCAACCTCCAAAAAACAGATTACTCAAATTTTTCCTGCATTCTTAGAAGTAGTGTTAGAAAAGGAAGGCCAGACAGACTCCAAGGGCAGCTGAATTCCCATCACTGGTGCCACCAGGCCCTCCATGGGTGGTTTATAATAGCAGGTGACAGAGGCTCTGGGTCACAAAACCAGACAACCATACCAAGTTAGAGAAAACAATATTGCCCATGTCTGTTTAATTTAACTAAGCTTCAATCTGAATAACTTTCAACACTTATAAGAGCTCTGGGCTAATTAGTATAAATGTTTTGATTTTTAATGTCTAAATTTTGTTATCTAAGCAAAATAATGCAACTGAGCGAATAAATATTTAGGTTTCTAATTCTCTTGGGCAGGTCACATACATAAAAAAGCAAATAAAAACTAAACTACAGCTATTAATATAACAGCCTGGGAGGAGATGGATTAATGAGGATAGGCCTTGACATGTTAAAAGGTAAACCAGGATGGCTGGACAAGTGTAGCACAGAGTGAAGCCCAGGTTACTATGTGAGATTACTATGCCAGTACTGCCTTCTTGATGCACTGTCACCCAATCCAATCTACTCAATTTTCCTTGGATTGGAGCCTCTATATAATGTGTGAAGTTATATCATGGTTCAAGGTGATTCATTGGTTACCTACTAAATTTCTGCTAGCAGAGGAGAGCTCCTGAACCATAAGAGAATCTTGTCATGGGACTATGAGAAGGACAAAGAGGCTACAGGCTAACTGATACCATTTCTTTGATTGTCTCCTTCATTAAATGAATTACCTGTTTTATTACTGTAAGACCTATTTAAGAATTTCCCAATTGGAAATTGTGACTGCAGAAGGAAAGGTTAGAAAGGTTCTGTCACTTATGAAAGGGTGACTCAAAGGCCATCTACAATAATATAAAACAAGACATAGTGGTATATGTGAAGATATTTAAACCTATTTTAATTTATCCTTATGATTCTCCAGGCAGAATGATAACAGTAAAAAAAAAATTGTGTCTAATTTTCCCCCAGCTATAATGACATTGCTCATTCCTATGAAGGGGAAGAACTAACATGACAATGCACACATACATATGAAATAAAATGACATTTTAAACATTAACCAGAAAATAAATTAATAGTGGTTAACTTACAGCTTCTAACTGATCCATTAGCTTTGATAAAAATTTACGACATTCAGGAGTTTTACTATCAATCTTCATTCCAGTTTGCATCGCATATAAACGACCTATAAAGAAAAGAAAAATAAGATGATTTGAACAATTTCATTTCTCAACACCCTTTTCCATGACTGAATGTTTAAGATGTTTTCCTACTAAATAATTTAAAATTTAAGTGAATTTGAGTGATTTTATTTACCAATGAAAGAATGAAAATGTTATCCAAAGAGATTCATGCTGATGATAACAAATTTTTACCAAGTAAGGCTTTCTTTTTTGGCTCTATGTTAAAAAAACAACAACAAAAAAACAGGACTAGGTCCAAAGTTGCCAAAGGGACCTGCAATTTAATTGGAAAGTCAGGGCATTCATCAAAACAACCACATGTACAAGAATATTTATCAAGTGTCAGATAAGTGATACTGATAAAATATACAATATGTGCTGGGAAAGTGGACAATGGGACCCAAGCTGAGGCTAACAGGGAGAACCGTTTTAGTCAATTTACATACACAAATAATAAATGTACCCTCTCTTAAAAAAAAAGTTCTAATAGAAACACTGAAGATGAAGCTAAAGTTAAAGACCTCTCTGACACTGCAATCCTATGAGCTTTTTCAATGATACGAGCTGTTCCACTGGTGTGTACAAAGACCTGCCTGTAATTTGTCGCATATTAAACAATGTTTCTGAAGATCTGTTTTAGCATTAAGTGCTCCACTTTATGGACAAATTGTTCTAGCTCTACTACATTTAGGTAGTTCTGAGATTTTCATTATTAGAAATCATGGGCTGCCATACCTTCTTGCAAATACATCTAAGAGTTAGTTCCCTGAGGAACAAAGAAGAAGAATTCCTGGGTCAGAGTATGTGTACCTTTTTCACTTTGAAAGCTCCTCTTAGACTGTCTTCCCAAACAGATTACCAATATGCAGCTGTATGTACACCATATGCAAGCACCCATTTTCCCCAAACTTACAAAAAATTGATATTGCTAAACTTCCTATCAATCTCAGGACTTTTAAGTGGTATCTTCTTGATCTTGCATTTTCACTAAAAAAGCATTAGATATTTATAGGATAGCTGTATATCCTCCTTTATGATTTAGGAATAGCTATCAAAAGAAAAGAGAAACATTTGCCAAGTTTTCTATTGGGTTGTTTGCTTTTTAACAAATTGCCTTGCAGCAGATCTTTGTACAATATTAAGGAGAGAAGATTATGCTCCCCACACCCCCAAAAAACCAGATTCTTGTATTAGCATTTTCCCTACTTTTCTTGTCAGCACATAATCATCTTATGTTTATTTTTCTCTCTCTCTATTCCAGATTGAATTTAAACTCCATGATGATGTCAATTTTAGTCTACTTGGTTTGCTGATGTATCCCTGGCATCTAGAATAGTGCTTGGCCTTCGATAAACATTTTCTGAATAGATAAATACATGAATGAAAGAACAGCTCTTTCTGCCCAACTGATTTAAATGCCACTTTTATCATTCATTATCATATATTAAGTTTCCACGGGATAAAAGGGCCCATTCTGTATTACATTGTCTGTTTAATTTACTAGAGCTTTATAACATGGCCTGTATCTTAGTCACTCCCAGGATTTCTAATTCAATTATGTCTAACCCATCATATCTTTAAAAAAAATGTATTAATATACACATAACACATAGTTATTTATTCTGTGTATATTTTTAATTTTAATAGCTTTATCTGAAAAATGGCATTTTTAATGCTTAGACTTTTAGGGCTACCTCATGTTCCGTGGATTGTAACTTAATTTATTAATGTATTTATTTCCATATATTAAATTAAAGGATTTGATCCATCTAGGTATTAGCAAGAGAAAAAAAATGGAGCTCCAAAAACATTGCGCAGACTTACACTGCCACACAGTGTAAAGAAAGCATGGTGCTTTCATTTTTACTGCATACTTAACAGCACTGGGTATCACTTTGACTAAAAAAAAATTTCAGCTTCAGAAGTAAAAAAAAGCACTTATTTTAACTATCCACTATGTTGATCATCAATGGGTCCAAAATTTTCTTTTCTTCTCTCTTTTAACCAGCCATATTTCTTTGCAACACACCCAGGGCCTTTCTAATTTGTCTATTAGGTTCTAACCACCTCCACAACTACCTCCCAAAAGTCTTCAAAAGCATAGTTGAACACCCTCTCCTTTTTAAACGAGTCATATCTCTTTTGAGCAGTTCAAGCTCTGTGTCTGTTTCGGTCAGCTCTTTTTTACTTACAACTGTGATTAAACTCCCCAACTCTTCCTCCTCTCTTGGCAGTTATTCAGATCTTTCCTTCTAGCAATTTTGTTGTATTTCTTTTGTTAAAATGCATTACATGAGCTCTTTGGAAAATAAACACATTGGCTGCAAACATTATGATGTCTTTCAATTTTCGATTTTTGTTTTAAAACAGAGGCTTAAAATATTTATGTACTTAAAGCTACTATTTGCATTTTTCCCCCCTATTGATTCTAAGCTTGGAAAGTTCTTTTATCTTCAAGGGACTTCATGTTCAGTTATATGTTCTTTCAAGTTTTTTCCATGGTTTTTCTAATTTAACTCTTTAACTTGCATTTTCCCTACCTTCACCATACTGGCAACTATCTCAAATACAATCAATAAATAATTCTTCCTTTTTCTAATGATTTGCAGTTCCTTTAAAATATTTTTACATTTTATATTTTCTGATTATTTGATTTCAGTGAGAGCACAGATCAAACGTTATCTCCTTACATGGTAATGTAATGTCTATAACTAATAATATGGCTTTACTTCCTCCAAATCCAATCTATGTTTTACTGTATTACCAACATTTTCTGAAAAATTTTAGGTGTTCTTGCTCTTATTCTTTAGAGGAAGGCTTTTACTTGAGAGTAGGGATCAATTCCATTGGCCAGGTTTCTCACCTTTCCCCTAAGAGTGTTCATTCTAAGCTATACTGAGGTTGAAGCCTTTGAGACTAATGATCCCAGGGATCGGCAAAATAACTGGCTAGGGTGCGGGAAAGAAAATATAACATTTATATGGATATCTTTTTATCTCATTCTTTGTAAGTTTCTGTCTTTATTTATCTTATATAATGCAGAAAATAGTTTTATAATAACACAGATAGTACGATATATAAATGTAATTTATAAATAATTTACATAATATATTGGAGATGGATAGGTGTTCAAAAGGTTAAGAATCACTGCTTACCGCATCCTCAGTCCTCTCAATTATAAACTGTACCTTCTTGCCCCAACCTAGCCTATCTCTCTTCTGCACAGTCCCATTCCTTCTACCTTATCATAATCAGCACAATTCCCCACATCTCTTCAGATTTCTTTCCCCTCTTTATCTTAACTAAAACCTGAATGTCACTTAAGAAAGCACTTTATTTGCAGTCCTCTCAAGCAGTGATTTTAATTCTCTTGCATTCTTTCTATCTTGGGACTGGCAAGTATGGTTGGCTTTCTTTTGCATCCCACGCTACCTACAGTTGTCTGTTAATGTCTTCTAAATACTCTGTGCCACAGCTCATGCCACTCTCTTTCCCTTAATCTTGTAATGATGTATCTGCCCACAGACCTCAGAGTCCTTCCGTGTTCTTTCATCAATATCTGATGACTCTGTGGAACTGGCACACACTGGCACTGGTACTGCCAACATCACAACTGTCTTTTAGATGAGGAAGTAAATCCTTGTTTTACTTTACATTGTTATTTTGGATTTTCTGCAATAAGGAAGCAAGTCTAATTCTAATGCATACACAGTGCCAATACTTACCAACCCTCATGTCTTAATATTCATTCATACTCTCCCTTACATGCCAGTCATTCCATTATTAAATTACCATCTCAAACTGCTGTATGTCAAGCACCCATTCTAAACACAATTTCCTTTTCTTACAAGTTTAAACTATGCCTACATCAACAGACTTCCAGTTCACTGGTGTCTTCCTACTTCTTCATTATAATCAGTCCGTTCTTCTTTAACTTCCCTCTACAAACAGCTTTGACCTCTACAATGTATTTTGCTAGAACTTTGTTGCCTTATCTCCTTCTACCCTGAACTTTTTTATTACATCCTTTTGGCAAAAGCATACTCACATATAAACCCAACTATCTTCTCTCTCTATGCTTACATATAAGCAGCAGAGACCACAGATTATCATTATAAATATCATAATAATCAACCTCAAATGACTTTAACACTTGCCTTCCCAACCTCCCAAATGGCTATTTCAAACATACCTCGATCTTCTTTAAAACAACCTCACCCAAACACACACACACAGATTTAAGACATTAATAATTCACTATCTAAATATACCATTGGCCAACATGATAATGTGAAGAAATAGAGTACTGACAATTTCATTTCCCTAGGTCTTTCTCCTTATTTTCTTAATACTGTAGTGAATACAATATGAATCCTACTATGCATGGAGTGTAGTTAGCAACTTGGTAGACCAACTTTGGGAATCAATGGCTACCCAGCATAGGTAATAGCCTGGATTATGAAGAACTGAGGTTGATTCTCAAATTCACACTGGCTTTAGTGGCAGCCATCTCAAGACCTAACCATTAAACAAACATGGAGCTAATTAATTCAGCACTTTTTTTACTAGGCAAAAGTGACTTATTCCAATGTAAAACGTACAATTCTCAGTTTCTAATTTGTTTTTCTTACCTACTTCTGTTTCTTACAAATCAAACTTGAAATATAGTGTAATGACCACCTATATGCATTTCTTTTTCTTGGTTTACATCTGCATTTGGTCTTTGCAATTACAAGGGCATCATTATATAGTAATGCCTTTAATTGAAGCACTAGAGAGAATATCCCTGAATTAGAAAGCTTTAGGAAAAATACTGACCCAGCTTTTACATTTTTTAATATCTTACGTAGTTTACATAATTCTGAAGTATAGAAAATGTATAAGATACATTTGTTAATATTAATAAAAGTAAAAAGACCTTAAATCTACTTACTAAACTTAATGAGTACACTAAAAGATCTTTTTACCATAGAAGGAAAAAGGATCACTTTTATATAGAGCT